AGATAATATTAAATCTAAGGAAGTGGCATACAAATTGTCTAAAAAAACCCTCAGTCAGTCTAGATTTTTGGCAAAGGAAGACAAAGAGATTGATTAGAGGGGGAAAATAGAATACAAAAGTCCGCTTGTGGGGAACATGCAAATTGATTGCAAAAGCGAACACAGGTATTGGAAGAGAAAAGAATTAGTGAAGATAAATATAGATGCCTTTACTCAGAAACATGGGCCATTATAATGGGGAACAAAGATGAGACCAATTAAATACCTATTTTGATTCTGTCTTCACAATGAAGGACTCAAACAGTGTCCCAAAAATGTTGGGGAACACAGGGTCTACTGAGATGGATGAATTGAAGGAAATCAGCATTACTAGGGAAATACTATTGAGGAAATTGATGTGATTAAAAGCCATTAAATCCCAGGTCTGACAATCGACATCACTGAGTGCTTAAGAAAGTAAGCATAGAAAGTGTGGCTGCATTGCTGGTCATCTTTCAAGATTCCATAGTTTTTGGAACAGTTCCTATGGATTACAGGTTAGTTAATGTAATTGCACTATTTTAAAAAGGTGGTAGAGAGATATCAGGGAATTATTGACAGGTTACCTGACATTGGTAGCTGAGAAAATGCTAGAGCTCATTATAAAAGATTTAGCAACTGAGCACTTGGAAAACAGTGTCAGCATGGATTTACAACAGGGAAATCATACTTGACAAATCATTTGGAATTTTTCAAGGATGCAACTAGTAGAGTTGATAAAAGGGTAGTCAGCGGATGTGGTTTACTTGGACTTTCGGATGAATGGGCTTTTGGAAGAACGGGCTTTCAGAACAAATAAAGGTCCTACAGAAGTGATTAGCATATAAAACTAATAAGTGAGGGATTGGGGATAGAGCAGTGACATAGATAGAGAACTGGTTGGCAGATAGGAAACAAGGAATAGGAGTAAACTGAGTGGCAGACAGTGAGTAGTGGGGTAGTACAGGAATCAGTGCTTGGGTCCCAGCTATTCACAATATCATGAATGATTTAGATGATGGAATGAAAAGTAATATCTCCTTGCTTGAAGACAACACAATGCTGGGTGGGAGGGAAAATTGTGAGGAGGATGCAAACATTTTTCAGTCTGATTTGGACAAATTAAGGAAGTGAGCAAATGCATGGTAGATAAAGTAAAATGTGAATAAATGTCAGGTAGCAAAAACAGGAAGATAGATTGGAAAAGGGGGAGGTGCGATGAGATCCAGATGTCTTCATTCACCAGTTATGGAAAATAAGCACACAAGTGCAGTAGGCGGTGCAGAAGGCAAACGCTATACAGTATTGGAGCAGGCCACTCGGCCACACAAGGCCACTCAGCTACCCAACACAATCAAGCCAACTATCCAACTCAGTAGAGATAGTAGGAACTGCAGATGCTGGAGAATCTGAGATAACAAGGTGTAGAACTGGATGAACACAGCAGGCCAAGCAGCATCAGAGGAGCAGGAAAGCTGACATTTTGGGCCTAGACCCTCCTTCAGAAAAAAAAGTTGTTTATTTTTTCTGAATAAGGGTCTAGGCTCGAAACATCAGCTTTCCTGCTCCTCTGATGCTGTTTGGCCTGCTGTGTTCATCCAGTTCTACACCTTGTTATCCAATTCAGTACCCTGCTCCCCATATTCTCCGTGTCTCTTGATCCCTTTCGGCCTGAGAACTATATCTTTATCTTATGAAGGCCGCCACAGCAACAGGATTAATGTAAGGAGCAAGGATGCCTTACTGCAATTGCCCAGGGCCTTGGAGAGACCACACCTGAAATATTGGGTGCAGTTTTGGTCTCCTTATCTGAGAAAGGATAGAGGCGTCCACTGAAGGTTTACCAGACTGATTCCTGGGATGTCAGGACTGACGTACGAGAAAAGGCTTGATCAATTATGTCTATATTCATTGGCTTTTAGAAGTGGAGAAATATTGACCAAAGTTCAAACAGATTTCGCCTCAGACAGTTTCCAGGAAGAAAGATGGGATCCACAGTCAAGGATTTGAAGTTAGGTTGAGGATCAAAAATAATTGCCTCAGTTATCCCTCTCCCAGTTGCTGAAAGTTCTTACTCCAGTAGTGGGGTGTGACAAACATCTGACAAATTAAAGGGAAGTTACATTATCAATTGTGCTTTGAGGTGAAGTAGAAATCATACATTCAGGCAGAGTAGCACACAGTTTATCTATCAGTGTATTTTTCTTCCTTCAGAATATAGTGCATAGTTTTAGTAATTCAGTTATTAGAAAGATAATACTGGCCAACATAGAGGTCAAGGAAGCTAATTCATGACATTAAGAGCAAGGATAGTAGTTCTGATGCAAAGACTGCTGAATCATCTGGCTTGAGTGCTCATTTTCCCCTGTTTCTAAGTCTAACCTGGACAAATAGAAGTTTGGAGTGATGACAGAATGAGTGAATTTGAATGTGACTGTGCTGGTGGTGAAAAATCAGTGATGAGAAAGAAAGCTTCAATGTATTTGGTTCCCTTTACCTCCTCAAGGCATTCTAAAATATTACACAATTAGTGAATTATTTTTAAAGCAGAGCCCTATTCTTATATTGATTAAAGAAGCAACCAAACTTTCACTATTAACAGCAATCAGATGTAACAAGTTAATCTGTATTTAGCTTTGTTTGTTGGGAACAGGTGTCAGCCAGATGCCTGGAAGAACTTTTCTTGGAATAATGCCATGAAAGCTTTTATATCCACCTTAACAATTGGACAAATCCCCGTTCTATCACATCCGAACGATGAAAGGTTAAAGTTGCCATTGTCTTACCGGTACACACAACTGTTCTCTCATTAGTGACAGACTAACTGAAGGTGGTTTAATTTGAGAATTCCCTCACATCGGCTAGCTTAGTTGAGCTGTTTTGTGATGCAGAGTGATGCCAACAGCAAAGGTACATTTCCCACACCAACTGAGGTTACCGTGAAAATCACTCCTTCTCAACTTCCCCCTTACACCTCTGATAAATCAACACCCACTCATTATTGCACAGCCTTGTCAACCTAAACTATGTACTCAAGTCCTGGAATGGGGATTGAACTCAAAGTTTTCAGATGGAATACAGTGCTGTTGGTGACACTTTTCTAAAGTTTAATATCACCACATAATGAAGCACAAATGTAAGTGAGGTTGAGAAAAATAGTTTTACTTAATGGTTGATTTAAATATAAGATTTACAGATAGTCTATTCAAGACTTGAAAAGATCTGGCTGCTTAATGCTAAACCCTGGAACCAGCTTTTCGAAGCAGCAGTCATTGGTCATAAAGAAACAAAGAAGATAGGAGCAGATGAGTGCCATTCGACCCCTCAAGACTACTCCATCATTCAACATGACCACGGCTGATCATCGAGTTAAATGCCTTAATCACAATCTCCCCCGTAGCCCTTTATCCATCAGCCATAAGAACTATATCTACCTCCTTCTAGAAAACACATAATGTTTTGGCCTCAAAGACAATACAGTGTGGAACTAGAGGAACACAGCAGGCCAGGCAACATCAGAGGAGCAGGAAAGTTGATGTTTTCGGGTTGGGCACCTTGTGCGCAGTTTTGGTCTCCTTACAGAAAGAACATCCTTCTTCAGATAGAGTGAGTGCAGCGAACGTTTATCAAATTGATTCCTGGGATAGCATGACTGACATATGAAGAGAGATTGAGTCACTGAGTATTGTATTCACTGGACTTGAAGAATGAGGGGGTTTCTCAAAGAAACCTGTAAAATTTTAATAGGACTGTAGGTTAGATGCAGTAAGGATGTCCTTGATGGTGGGAGAGTCCAGAAAAGGATATGGGTAAACCTTTTAGGACTGAGATAAGATGGTATTTCTTCAGCTGGAGAGTAGTAAGCTTGTGGCATTCTCTACCACAGAAAGTGGTTGAAGGTAAAACATTCAGAGATAGCAAGAACTGCAGATGCATTTGCCCATACACTCAGCCTGCCCAAATCACGCTACAATATTTCTGCATCTTAACTGCTCATCCTTCTACCCAGCTTTGTGTCACCTGCAAATTTTAAGATATTGCATTTATTTTCCTCTTCTAAAATCATTAATATATATTGTGAATAGCTGGGCTCCTGGTGCCAATCCATGTCGTACTGCATTCGTCACTACCTTCCATTCAGAAAAAGACCTATTTATTCCTACTCTTTGTATCCTTATGGCTTACTAATTTTCTATCCATCTCATACACTACCACAAATCCCATGTGCTTTACACATTAATCTATAACGTGGGACTTTGTTGAAAGCCTTCTGAAAGTCCAAATAAACTACATCCACTGCCTCCTCCTGATCAACTCTATTAGTCACGTTCTCAAATAATTGCAGTAGATTTGTCAAGCATGATTTCCCTTTTGTAAATCTATGCTGACTGTGTTTGATCTCCTGTTTTCCACTGTTTTCTAAATGGTCTACGATAAAATTCTTGATAATGAACTCTAGCATCTTGCCCGCTAGTGATATCAGACCCAGTGGTCTATAATTCCCTGCTTTCTTTCTACCTCCGTTTTTAAATAGTAGGGTTACATTAGCTAACCTCCAATTTGTAGAAACTGTTCCAGAGTCTAAAGAATCTTGAAAAATAACCACCAAGACAACCACTATTTCTAGGTCCATTTCCTTAAATACTCTGGGATGCAGACTATCAGGCCCTGGGGACATATTAGTCTTCAATCCCATCAATTTCTCCAATAGCATTTCTCTATTAATACAGATTTGCTTCAGTTTCTCCTTCTCACTAAGCCCTGTGTTCCCCATCATGTCCAATATGTTATTTGTTCTTTATTTGTAAAGACAGAAGGGAAGTAACAATTTAGCTTTGTCAGTCATTTCTTTATTCCCCGTTATAAATTTCCCTGTTTCTGACTGTAAGGGACCGCTGTCATTCCTTTCGGTAACATTTCCCAATCCATCACAGCATCATTTATTGGCAGAGAGAAATAATGTATTGGGTGTGAGAACTTACCAGTTCACCATGGTTTTTCTGGTGTGCCTGAAGCTTGTACTTGTCCGCAGTTGTGTAACTGCATCCCTCAGATGAGCACCTCAGCTGGATGTTGCTGTGTTTCTGCACGACATGACGTTTGAGGCAGTTCTTGGTGATGGAGGAGTAGCTGCACTGAGAGCAGTAATACAGGTGCTCCCGGGTGTGCGTCCGAATGTGCATATCATAATGGACTTGGTACCAGTATAATTTTCCTTTAATAAGGAGCAGGTTGGGAAGAGAAGAGGCAGGGAAAGGTAGGATTTTGGAGGAAAAAGCATGTAAATTAAATAATCAAGACTAAAATGCTGGCCAATTTCTTAGGTGTGAAAGAAGCTACATTACAGCTAAAACAACCTGGTTGCAAAACAGGACGCTCCAAGGGTCTAACGTATAATATTTGCAAACACATTTGTCTGAAGTACACATATTCTTCAGTCATTCACGTCATTCATGATTATGTGTTTCACTGCTAGCTTTCTATTATTAGAGAGGGCTTATAACAAAATTAGTATTGCCTTATTTAGGCACCGGAAATGACAATGACAAACTCAACCTCTTCAGCCCTCCAAAGTCCTCCTTACCATCTAGAAGGACAAGGTTAGCAGATACATGGAACACCACTACCAATTAGCAGCAAAATAGTCTTGGTAAATAAGGAACGAAGTGGGCAGTGCTTTTTCTACATCCTCAACAAATCAAAAATACTGTACTAATAGTACAAGAACTTTCCAACAGTAATTTTGTAATGGTACAAACACACAGCACACTCATACCAAGTTACTTCAATGCATCAAAGTGGTTAAATGAGACCGGAGCATAGTAAAACTATTATATAATAGGATAATGTAGTAAGTAGGAGAGGCTGAACAGCTTTCGACTATTCCGATTCTAAAGGTCAGAAATCACACCAGGTTATAGTCCAACAGGTTTATTTGAAAACAACGGCTTTCGGAGCCTCACTCCTTCTTCACATGTTAGCGAGGTGGTATCAGACACAGAATTTAAGTAAGAGATCAAAGCGTCACACCACTGATGAGGATGTACTAAACAAATCTAAGATGCTATTAAATCTTTAATAAGTTAGAAGGTTTTAATGTAAATGTAAATCCCTGAATTCTTTTCAAGTCACTGGCTTGACAGAACTAAAGGTTTTATCAGTTTAAAGAAGAGGTGACATTTTAGTTCAGACAATGTTTGTTAGGTGTGAGGCCTTGTTTAGAATCTGTTGGTGTTTTGGTTTGGAGTCAAGTAAACCTGTTTTCAAATAAATCTGTTGGACTATAACCTGGTGTTGTGTGATTTCTGACCTTGTCCACCCCAGTCCAACACCAGCACCTCCACATTATTGAAAATGTTTGAGTGAGAAATTGCCTAATATGTTTGGTTAAGGAAATGTGGCAAATGAAATTAATCCAGACAACTGAGAGATAATGCTCATCAGGACAAACCAAGTTAGGGAGTATACCATTAGCAGAAGGATCTTGAGAGGAATAGAAATGAGAAACTTTTGGAGTGCATATCCACAAGTATTTTTGCATGAGACAGATCAGGTAGATAAGGTGGTTAAAAAAGAGCAAACTGAATACTTTCCTTCATTGGAAGAAGCATTAAATACAATAGTTGGAATGTAAAGCTGGAACTATGAAAAATGCTAGTTAGGTGACAGCTGAAATTTGTAAACTGCTTTGGTATACTGCATTACTGGAAGGAAGATAAGAGTAAAGAAGAGATTTACAGGAATGTTGTCAGAGATTGAAAACTGCAGCAATGATGATAGATTCAACAAGTTAGGATTATTTTCCTGTAAACAAGTGAGGTTAAGGGGTGACCCAATTGATATGCATAAAATTATGAGGGGCCTAGATGGAATGGATAGAAAAAAATTGGTTTCCTTTCAACTACCAGGGGATACAGATTTATGATTGAAGGAGTAAGTAAAGAGGTTAAAGGAGTAAGTAAAGAGATTAACAACACAACAAATTCCACAACAACTCTGATAAGGAAGTGGACCTTTAGATCGAACTTTACACAATCAGGATGAAACATCTGCTGAAACAACAAATCCTGTGCGCGAAAACAACAGCAGCACTAACTGTCACCCGCTTTGCAAGACTCCTGGAACAGATTAAAGAACTGTGTACATGACTTGAGGGGGAGATTGGCGCGTGACAGCAAATGTATATAACCTTTGAAATCGTCTGTAATAGCCGAGAAGTTTTGGTGAGGCCCCTCTGAGGTCCCTGCTTCTCCCAAAAGCTTTTGTTAATAAAGCTGTGTCTGACTCACTACAGAATTGTACTTGGTAATATTTTACCTACAACAAATTGGCGTAGTCCGCAGGATGTTGGCTACGCTCCAGGCAGCGTGGCCACAGCCCGGATACCGGGACAGGATACCGAACACAAAGTTAAGTGAGTTGGACTACATTATTTAATAATCTGTTGAGTGTGAATGTGAGACTGTCTGTCATTTCAGTTGAGCAAAAACGGACAAGGAGGTACCCGTCTCTAACTCACAGCCCTAGACCAGTTGTTAAGAGGGGAAATCCCCCACGCGAAGGTCAGGACCCTGAAGTGGGTGTAGAGACTGGAGAAGAGGTACCCAGAATGTGATACTCTAACGTGAGAGTGTAATGTTGTGAGACCGCCGAGAGAGAATTGAAATAAGCAGGATACGGGGACTTGATCACTCCCACAATAGGTATTGCCAGACTCCAATAGGACCAATCCCGGGTGAGACGTGGCCGGTGGGTTAAACGCAGTCGAGAGATCCGGGGAGATCGTGAGTATAAACCTATCATTTATCATGGCGGGGAAGGAAGATCGATGGGGACCCCCGGGGTCTCTCATTGATCAATATATGACAGATTGACATTCACTCATTAAACAGATGAGAAAGGGGGGATGGGATCCGTCCCAGGCCCTAGAACAACAGCGAGATTGGCTCTTAAGACAGAAGAAAGATAGGACTAAGAAAACCGCAGTCCTTTTAGTACATCAATTGGGCGGCCTTATAGGGCAGACATCAAAGCCCACGAGGAGGTGGACGGAGGAAAATAGGATCCTAGAATCACCAATTAGGGAACTAGAAAAAAGGAACCAGTTCTTAGCAGAGCGTCAGTGGGGACCCTTGCCCCCATATGAATTGATGACTGGCAGAGCAATGCAAGTGCCCGTGTCTATCATAACAGGGGGTTCTGACGTCGGCCCACTCCGAGATAGAATACGACGCTATGTGCTGGAACTGAGCACTCAGTTGAAGGCGTTGCGCAAAACTGTGAGGGACAGACAGGAAGGACAAGATGAACAGAGGGAATTAGCGCATTGCCCCGAGGTAAGGTAGCAAGGTTATGGTAAAGACCCTACCCGGAAAACCTGGGTTCGCCCCCAAATGGGATGGCCCCTATGAAGTTATCATCAGTGGATACACTTGCGCTTGCATAGATATGCAAGGGAAGGGCGTCTGGAAACACTGGTCCCAACTTAAAGAATATGCGGACACCAATTGAGATCCTAAATGATATGCTTGATTTACAGAACAACCCTCTACTAGACCTCCAAGCAAGCTGATTGGGAGCGCAGGAAGTCGCGCGTGGGCGGTATAGCCTTTGGAACATTGTTAACATAGAGTGATAAGATACAGTCTCGCATCTGAGTTTAAACATGTTTAAAATGATGTATGTGGTCACGGTGTTTTGTATAGTCATGGTTGCAGGGGTGTCGGGATTAGAGGATAACTTGTTCTACAAGACCCACATACATCTACACGGTAATCGGACCGTGTGCTACCCACTTGCCCGGTCAGTCGAGGCGTTGTTTGTAGCCACCCCTGGATGGACCCCCTTTGACCTATACACAGCAGATACGTTAGACGCACCCTGTGTGGGCCAAACCGGTACATACCGACGAGGTATACAAGGGAGATGTGTAGAGCTGATAAACTCGAATAGGATACAGTCCCCCAATTGTGCAGGAACTCGGGGAAAGAACGGCACAATATGTTCAAACCCGCTAAGTTACCCGCTTTGCTTCTCAGGACAGGGATGGGGGTCCACATACGTTCTAGTCCCCAAGAACACCTCCTGTGTGCAGACGCAGTGCTCCCGCCAGCATTGCCAAGTGAACAAAGGCCTGTTTACATGCACTTGTAATGAGCGAAGATGTCTAAACGTAACTGCAGGTAGACAGTTTATTTGTGGACAGTGCAACGGGATACATGTCAGTTCAGCTGCATGGACGTATCCATTTGATACCTACCAACTGGTGGGGTCAGGCAGAAACTCCAGCCAGCCAAGGAACTGGTGGTACAAACAGTTCATGCAGAAAAATAATCAGGAGGTCAAATGCTATCGAGCCAAGAAAGGCTTTGTGTTCCTCCTCAATGGGACCTTCACAACAGCCACACCAACCCTCCCAGTCCTCTTTGCAGTAGGGACAATAGGACCGCTTACCGTCCCGTGCCCCCAGAGAGGACACACCCGTAGGAAGATAGTGACCCGAGCCATTAGCGAGAAATTCTGTGCAGACTGGGAGGACTCGGGAACACTGGGGTCCTCACTTGGCTACGGGTTCCTCGGGGCCCCTGTCTCTGGAGGGAGCAGCGGGAGTCATTAGTGCCAAAAATAGGAACTACCTCGTCTGTGGACTGACGATCCTGGGAAATAGCATGGCAAAGGGGTTGGATGCTATAAACCGAGAACTTGCCGAGTTAAGACTCTATTCGCAGCAGACCCGGTATGCCGTCGATTACCAGTTAGCCCAGCAGGGCGGAGTGGGCACGATAGTAGGGGACAAGTGTACAACACATGTTACGGATGGAACCTATAACGTCACCCAAGCCATTAATGATATAAGAAAGCTGCTTGATGACTTCACGCAAGGCCCCAAGAAAGGGGACGGTTGGCTCGAATGGTTCCTAGGTGGATCTTGGGGGACATACCTGCTGCATGCTTTGATTATACTGATTATGATCGTTATTGCTTGCTGTGTTGTTATGGCTGTCTCTAATTCGTGCTGTAAAATCTTAACTGCAAGAATTATGCCAGGTGTAAGCGTGCACACTGACATGACTGTTGAGCGCCCCTTGATGAGTGACACGGAGACACTCGAAAAATGGCTGTAAGTGGTCTACAGGCCATAAGTACTCATGACTCTGACCACAAGGGGGGACTGAAGGAGTAAGTAAAGAGATTAACAACACAACAAATTCCACAACAACTCTGATAAGGAAATGGACCTTTAGATCGAACTTTACACAATCAGGATGAAACATCCACTGAAACAATAAATCCTGTGCGCGAAAACAACAGCAGCACTAACCGTCACCCGCTTTGCAAGACTTCTGGAACAGATTAAAGAACTGAGGGGGAGATTGGCGCGTGACAGCAAATGTATATAACCTTTGAAATCGTCTGTAATAGCCGAGAAGTTTTGGTGAGGCCCCTTTGAGGTCCCTGCTTCTCCCAAAAGTTTTTGTTAATAAAGCTGTGTCTGACTCACTACAGAATTGTACTTGGTAATATTTTACCTACAACAATGATTGATAGGAGGTCGAGAATGGACATGAGGAAATGCATTTTCACCTAGAATGCGGTGGGTTTCTGGAATTCACTGCCTGGTTTAGCAGTAGAGGAGATATCCTCAATTCTCAAATTTGAAAAGGTACCTGGACCTCTACGTGCAGTGCTGTAACCTGCAAGGTCATGGACCAGGTGATAGAACAAGGTATTAGAATGCATCGCTAGTTATTTTTTAATATAAAACATTTTCTTTCTCTGCTTGCACAGATAAATTGGACTGAATGGTTTCTTTCTGTTTTTATGGTTTTTCCATGAATTCATTGGGATAGGGAAATGGCAAGAAATAAATATTTCAAGAAATTTCAGGATAAAAAGTTGTAAAAACAACGGTCACAACATTCAAGTATAGGCCAATTGCTGGAAAGAGTGTAAATTTTGATCAGTACAGACTCAATGGGCTGAATGGCTTCTTCTGTTCTGTATGATTCTATGCGTTTTCAATTAACTCAAATTTAGGTAAAGTATTTCCTGTGATTCGTTTCTAGGGTTAGTGATTGAGGGATAAATTATTTCAATTGTCAGAATCTTATACGGGTCTGAACAATGTAGGTTATGGTGAGAAATGTGGCAGAATTGCACAAGAAGTTCAGTGAGACCTATCTTGACATTGGAAACAATTTGCTGTATCTCTTCACAACATCCTGCGCATCAAGGACGGATTCTCGCTATGTGCCAGTGAGTTGTCTAGTAAAGGAATTACTACTTTCCAGCAACTTTATTAATTGCACATTTCACCTTATTAATACATGCAACTACCAAATGTACAACCACTGTGAGCAAACTAGATGAGAATTCTCAACATGGAAGGCTGAACAGGTACCTGGCAACTTCAACTGGCCGCTTGCTCCAAAGGACTTCCATATTGCACACCAGGAACCAATATCTCACAGTATGCTCCATGGGCACTGGCCACATGCACCCCACATCCATTGATATCAGCATGGACATGTACCAGCTTCTAAGAACCTTAATGGCTTCTTCACTTCAATATTTCATCTTGGGTTGCCAGAGCAAGTATCATTGTAATGCTGCAGTAAAACATTTTGCACTCAGGGACATGTGCTTAGGCTGCAATTCCAAGCTATTCATTTGCTCTCTTAGTGCTCGCTCGCTTTGTGCCTACTTGGATGTGAACAGCATCTATGTTTTGCATTGCCTTCCTCGTGCTTTGCTTCCTCAAGAGATACTAGGGGATTTGAGGATCACAGAAATATAAGGATCACAGCATTGTTGTATTGTTGCGTCATTTAGCACAGTCACAAAGCTAGGAGCTTGACACAGTTGTCAGTTGGCCTCAGTCAAGTGAAAGGACATAACACTTGGGCAGGGGTCCCAGCACAGTAAGTTAAGGGCAGCCTGCAAGTCCAGGAGCTTTGATAAGATTTTTCAGTCAGCTGCTCAGGCACACAGAGTCAGGGTGTTCTCCACATAAGAGGAGAGGACCTGAATCACCAGCCTTTACTCTTTCTGTCCTATTGTGGGTTGTTACCCCCTGGAATCACAAAGAGGCAGGTAATAAAGGACAAGCTGGCATAGTCTGATGTGTGCCCCCTCCAGGGCTTTGCCAGTAAAGTTGGGCGCCAATTTCTTTTTGCCACTATCTAATATTAGGAACTGTGCAGGGCAGCTCCAGGATAACAGCGTGTGCCTCGTTACACGATGCGCATTTAAAGATGGTTCTGTTGCCACGGATGGTGATCTATTCCAGGATATCCTGGCAGTGACAAGTTGTTTGAGGTAAGGTAAGTGGTAGAATAGATGTATAATCAGACAAGACGGGCATCTTAGGGGCAAGATAGTTAATGAGGTGAGTTTAGGAAGATATGACGATGGAACTCACTAGGCCTCAAGGAGAGAAACCCTCCATGAAACTTGATGAAACTGACATTGATGAAACGTAAGATTGAGGTCAATGTTCATGATTTGACTGTATATGTGCATGAAAGAAAAGATAAACATGAATAAAGAACGTACATATGATTGGACTGTTTGTTTGCACTGTAGAAAAAGTGTAAAGTCCTTGAGAAAATGCAGAAGAGATGTACCAGATGTTTGAGAGAAATTTGATAGAGGTCTGCACATTATGATAGGCTTAGGTAAGGTGGACAAATAAAAATTTTTCTTTTCTTTAGCTTGCGGTACAAGAACTGGGTTCACAGACTTAAGATTTTGAGAAGAAATACAAGGAGAATGGGAGGAAAATCATTTTACTCAGCCAGTGATAATTACCCAGAACTCGCTACCCATAAGCGTAATGGAAGTGGGAACAATTAATTATTTTAAAAGGAAGTGGAATGGAAAATGAAGTAAAGTCACAGGGCTACAGAGGTCAAACACATGGAGTGGGGGCTGAATGAAATACTATGTGAGAAGCCACTATTGACTTGATGGGCCAAAATTCCCTCTTTTGAGTCAAAAATTACTTTATGACATGATGGGCAAAAATTAAATGCAGTGGCTTGGTTAAATGGCCCACTTCTATGCTGTAACTTTAAGTGTAGTTCATTAATAACATAATATTTCTACTATTATTAGGTTATGTTTCAGGAAAGAGTATATGGTTTAAACTGGGCAGTGAATCCTATATTGACAGTGGTCCACCATGCCAAAGTTGAAAGTTACTTACATACCGAGGGCTTTTACTAGATTAGCTGATCTTACTTTATAAGTCTTGGTTTGTATCCATGTAGATTATGGCACTTCAAGAGCATACGTAAGTAATTTTTAAATGTGCTGAGGTTTTCTGTGTTTCCACCCTTTCATGCAATGAATTCCAGGTCCCAGATTTTCTTAGCAAAAAATGATTCATCTAATCCCTCTACTAATTACTTTAAATCTATTCCCCCAGTTATTAATATCTTTGCTAAGGGAATAGGTGCCTCCTGTCTATTTTTGCTTATTATAATTTTGTACACCTCAATTAAATCTTCCCCAAGCCTTCTCTGTTCCAAAGAAAACAACAGCAGCCTAGCCAAATTTACATCATTCCTCAAAATCTCCAGTCCCAGCAACTTGCCTTCTCAACCTTCTCTAGTGCAATCAAATCCTTCCTACAATGTGGTCACCAAAATTCTACGTATTACTCTAGCTGCAGCTGAAATAGCACTTTAGGCAGTTCCAGCATAATCTCCCTGAATTTATACTCAAACATCTTTGCCACATTTGCTTTCATTAAATTCACGTCAACTGTTTTTGATTAATCTGTGCCTAAGTGAACATTAATACTATTCCTGGATTAGCTGGTGGGAAGGTTGCTGATAGAGATTGTAAGATAGTTACCATTTACAGTACATAACTGAATTTGATAGTGACAAAAATGCTCATTTACTCAGCAAACAGTGAAAAGCAGGCATACATAAAGCAGAATCAGAAAAATGAGTTATCTCACCATAATGTTTCTAACAAGTAAAAGGGATGATGTGAATTTTAAAACATACAGAACTTATAACTCTCCACTATGATAAGGTAAAATGCAATAGTAGCACTTAGAGTTATATCAATAAACAACTAATGAAACTATTAGAACATATTTTCTCTATTGTACCACACATAAAGAGGCAGTTTTATTTTCAGTTTTGAAAGGGCTGGTCATTTAAACAACTTTAAAATCATTTTAAAATTATTATTGGATTAATTCAGCAACTTGATTGTCTACAGAATTTATACTCCCTTCTGGAGCATTTGCAGCTTCTCTAAAGATTCTTAGTCCCATACTACAGGATAAGGTCTCTGCTCCAACAAAAACAGGTCTGTTTGAACAGCCTTGTTGAACTTGGGTTTCTGACACATGGGAGTCATTTCCCATCCCCTTTCTTGCTGATCTTGGCAAAAATAAGATCTGTCAGATATGGTGGGTGGGACTTTGAAACCCAAGTGTGTAATAAGTTATAGGAGAAGATAAGTAGTTTCTTTTAAACAAAGTATTCAGGTTATTCTTCTACTCCATTTGAAGCTCATTGCCATAGCCTCTACATTCTTCTCAGCCCAAGGAGTCACACCGAAACCTGCTGTTGTGAGCAGCACAGGGCATACGAAGACAAGAACCGATAAATACGTGAACAAGAAACAAGAATAGGCTGTTTGGCCCTCCAAGGTCATAGTTATCTGATTTTAACCTCAACTCTACATTCCTATATATCCCATAAGAACATAAGAATATAAGTACATAAGAAAAAAGAGCAGTAGGCTATTCAGCCCTTCAAGCTTATCCCACCTGCTCCAGGCGTCAACAATTCTTCATGCCAGGTCTGCACAGCCCTCAATTCTACGATATCTCAAATATCTATTTACCTCAAATATTCTTCTTTAAATAAGGAACAAAACCTGTACACAGGACTACCAGAAGTAGATGTTCTCTCAAGGATTTTAATCCCCTTCCCTTGGAAAATATATTAAAAATATCTACATGTAGCCTGTGATCAGAACACATTTGTGGGCAATGGTGAATACATTTCTACATGCTGGTATTCCACAGTATTAAATATCCAGTACCATAACGCTTTGACATGGTTTCAAGTGACAAGTTTGTTCACTGCTGCTGCATTTATCTTCACTAAAATATCATTTAATGAAGATATTGAATCATCTGGCATGGAATCTCATGAAATAGGATTGCTGTAATAAATGAACTAGATATTAACTTATTTTACAAAGATAGATTAGTCAAAAGTAATCTGTCCTCCATTCTACTACAGATCTAATAATCCTAACAATGAAGAACAAATCATGCGTGCGGAGCATAGCAAGACAATGTCAAGCAGAGAAATGTTAAAAGGAAATGTTGGATAGTTGAATATGTTGTAATGGTGCCACCTGATGGTCAATTGTCACTTGCACATTTCTTCTTAGGTCAGTTTAAATTTTTTTTATTGACCTGGTAGGATAAAGTCTAAAGTTGCTGGAGCTCTTTGGAAATGTAGGAT